GGTACTTGTATTAGTGAACTTTATCTTTCTCATAGGCGCCTTTCTTTTTTCCGGCTATTGTTTTCATATTTTCAACTTTCTGTTGCTACAGGTTATTCAGCATGGGGCCTGCTTAGGACTTGGGTTGGCTGCTCTAGGAACCGCTGATGAAGACATTTATGATGACATTAAAAACGTGCTATATACTGACAGTGCCGTTGCTGGAGAGGCTGCTGGTATTGGTATGGGTTTATTGATGGTTGGAACTGCAAGTGAGAAGGCAGGTGAGATGCTTGCTTATGCTCACGAGACGCAACATGAGAAGATAATCAGGTAGGTTGACAGCTTTAATCCAATTGCCAAAATACAATTACTTGTATTAGCTTAGATCCTATTGTTATCTCTTAATACATGTGTACTTGAGAAGTTCTTTTTGCTGTTCTTTTTCAGGTTTTGCTTTTGTATTTTTGAAGAAGAATGATATTGTGATTAAAAGTTAAACCAATCCAAAAAAATAAAAATAAAAATAATTAAGCATTGATGAGCTATAGAAAATATTTTGCTTGAACTATAATAAGGAAATTAATTGTTTGAATAGTTTAAAAAATGATTGCAGTATCTAGAAATGAACAACTGTTATCGTGTGAAGAGATAGTTGGTATTTTGGAATTTGGATTGATTTTACTTGATAAACTACAGAATAAAATTATTTTATACTGTTTGAAGAAATGTCACCAAGTGATATAAGGAAACAAATAGGTATAATTATTATACATTTGATAGACTGAAAATTGCAATAAATATTTAAGAGCTAATTACTGAAATGTCCTTGACCGCTTGGCTCCGATACTCTCACTTCCTTATTTTATTTTCTTTGCAACAAGTCCTGAAACAAATATAAGAAAATAATGGACAGATTTTGTCCTTGTTTTAGAACTCACTGATCCATATCCTCGTGTTGGATCTTTCGACTTAAAAAGTTAAAACCTGTGTAGCATCCGTTTTCTTGTGAATGTCACATTTACTTTTAAAAAGAAAAAAACTGTGAATGTCACAGATTTACAAATGCCCATTGCAAATTAAGGCCATCTGAATTTCTGTTTCAAAAGAATGGCTGGAATGTCCATTGCAAGTTAATGGTGTTTGAATTTCTGTTTTGAAAGAAGACAGGACATGTTGATTTCTTTGTCCGTTTTCAGTTCTGAATATTTTGATAGATATTGCCTTTGATCATATGTTGTAAAATCACATATTTAGGTACTGTCACTTGTTTCAGTCCCCATGTATACATCCTCCTTTTTTTTTAACTTCTAAATTTTGTGAATATCAATTCCAAGAATTTTCAATTTCAAGGTGAAAATTCTTCAGTGTAATTTTTGTGCACTGGGAAGTTTTGATCCTTTCCCTGTTTTTGTGCTATTTTCTTTTCATGAAGGTTTATTAGCAAAAAGTAAAATTTTCAAACTAGAGGGGACATGAATATGTAATTAGTCTTGGGCATAATTACAGGATCAATAATGTGGCATAAAATAAGGATGAAAATTTCTCCATCTTACTACATGTGTAGGTTGCCTGGAACACATTTTGCTTTTAATTAGTACAGAATAATAGTCCATAGAGTACCTGGAGTTGAACATTCCTTCTGATGCTACATGCAGGGGTTTGGCACTAGGTATAGCTCTCACAGTCTACGGAAGGGAAGAAGAAGCGGATACACTGATTGAACAAATGACTAGGGATCAAGACCCTATATTGCGTTATGGCGGAATGTATGCTTTAGCATTGGCTTACAGAGGAACTGCGAATAATAAAGCTATCCGTCAGTTACTGCATTTTGCTGTATCAGATGTTAGTGACGATGTCCGCCGGACGGCAGTTTTGGCACTTGGATTTGTTATGTATTCTGAGCCAGAGCAGGTTGGTGCTTTTTCTTGTCATATTTGAGACTGTTATGCTCGTTAATCATGTGCTTCTTATCAATCTCTTGTTGTTTGTGGTCTCAGTTCAGCGGAAGTACTTTGTTTGACTATTGTCTGCAGATCTACATTTATTATCCTATTTCCTCCCCTCTGCCCTATCTCCCCCTCCCCCAAGTCTTCTTCATTCTGTTGTGTTAATAATGTTTCCTTTTCAATGAATTTGCAGATGCCTCGTATTGTATCGTTGTTATCAGAGTCTTACAATCCACATGTTCGATATGGTGCGGCTATGGCAGTAGGCATTTCTTGTGCAGGTACTGGTCTGAGTGAGGCCATCTCATTGTTGGAGCCTTTGACATCAGATGTGGTTGATTTTGTACGTCAAGGTGCTCTCATAGCGATGGCCATGGTGATGGTCCAGATAAGTGAAGCTAGTGATTCCCGCGTGGGTGCCTTCAGGTATTTCATCTGAAAATGCATGTCACATCTCTCCTTATTTTTTCATCTTTTCTGAGCTTGCTATACTTTCTTCTGTTCAGGCGACAACTGGAAAAAATTGTCCTAGATAAGCATGAAGATACCATGAGTAAAATGGGTGCAATTTTGGCCTCTGGTATTCTTGATGCTGGTGGAAGAAACGTGACAATCAAATTACTTTCAAAGACTAAACATGACAAAATTACAGCAGTCGTTGGACTAGCTGTTTTTAGTCAGTTTTGGTATTGGTATCCACTTATATATTTCGTTAGCTTAGCATTCTCACCAACAGCCTTGATTGGTCTCAATTATGACCTAAAAGTGCCAAAGTTCGAGTTTGTATCACATGCTAAGCCCTCACTATTTGAGTATCCTAAGCCAACCACTGTAGCCACCACAACTTCTGCTGTCAAACTTCCCACAGCTGTTTTATCAACATCTGCTAGGGCTAAGGCAAGGGCTAGCAAGAAAGAGGCTGAGAAAGCCATTGCCGAGAAGGCAGCTGGAACAGAGTCATCTTCTGGTGCACCAAGTTCTGGGGAGTCCATGCAGGTTCGTATACGTTTCTATGATTGTGTTTTGGATCAATGGTTTCCTTTAGTTAAGGATCGGGCCGACAGTCTGTTCTTATAATATTTGTATGGATGATCTTGCATAATTTTCTGCTTTTGTTGTGTAGTGCAAATAAAATGTATCTCTCTTTTAATGGCAGGTGGATACTCCAGCGGAGAAGAAAAATGAACCAGAGCCATCATTTGAGATGTTGACCAACCCTGCTAGGGTGGTTCCAGCTCAGGAGAAATACATAAAGTTTTTGGAAGAAAGCAGATATGTGCCAGTTAAATCATCACCTTCTGGATTTGTGCTTCTGAGAGATCTACGTCCTGATGAACCTGAAGTATTGTCCCTCACTGATGCACCCTCGTCAACTGCATCCAGCACTGGTGGTGGATCAACTGGACAACAGGCCCCGGCATCAGCAATGGCTGTTGATGAGGAGCCTCAGCCACCACCGGCATTTGAGTACACATCATGATTTATTTGTATTTTAAAAGCTTCATCAATACTTTGGTTTTCATTCCATGTTGGAAGGTGATGTTAAATGGGCAGAGGTGGAAACCTATTGATCTAATAGCACTTCTGATGATCGAGTTGAATTTTGGGATACATTGAAACGAGCCGCTTGGGTTCTGTTATTCTGCCTCTTGATTTCCAGACTTGTGCTTGTCATTGTATTTCCTATGCAAGAGGGACAAGAAAATTGGGGACTAGAAACTGCCATTGCGCGTTATCTTTGTCTGAATCTGTCCTGTCATCTCTGTCCTAGATTGTTAGATTTTTACTTTATGTTCTAATTAAGATTTTATATTGTTTGGATCTACAAAAAGAGTTCCACTGTTCTCTCCCGACTATTTATTAGTTCTACAACTTAATCTTTGCCAGTTTTAGTTTAAGCCTTGGCAATTTGTTTGATTTGATGCCGGACTGAATCTCACTGCAACCAATCGGCTAAGAATTGTTTGTTGCAAAGTTTTTGTTTTTCTGTCTGCCGCTCAACCAATTTTCATCAAACACAATTACGGAGTTTCACAGCTTTACATATGAGGATGTTTGATTGAAGCAGGCTGAATTTCTAGTTAATTGCTGTAGCAGGTTATGTTGTTTGGACTTTCCGAAAATGTTATTGGGGGCGTGTCGGATCTCCAAAAGGAGGGTGTTTTTAGAGGATCGGACATGGGTACAATAACATTCTGGAGAGTCCGGGAAACATAGATAGACTTAGACTTCCGGGCAACATAGATAGACTTAGACTTTCCGAAATGTTGTTGGGGGCGTGTCGGATCTCCAAAAGGAGGGTGTTTTTAGAGGATCGGACACGGGTACAATAACATTCTGGAGAGTCCGGGCAACATAGATAGACCGTATAAAGTTTTCACTTTTATAATGAAATGACAAGTTGCAAAATTTTCATACAAGGTCCATGTATATATATTCATCATTTAATGGAAAGTCTTAGTAGAGCGTGTAAAGCTAAAATGGGGAGATATCACATGGAATATATAACTATTGAATAAAGAAATTTCTAGTTAAATAAAGGTAGGCTGCAAAGTTGCTCACGTGCTTGATAACAACAACTGGGTATACCCAGCGTAATATACATAGTGGGGGTAGTGTAGAGAGTGTTATCAGCAACCTAGCCAGCGTAATCTCACGTAATGGGGTACTGTGTACGCACATCTTACAACTACCTCGTGGAGACAGAGAGTCTGTTTCCAAACACTCAAACCATAGAAAAGTTCAAACTTTGAAAATTTTCACTCACTTTAATTCATAAAATCATATAACAAAGTTTTAAGTATTTATTAAAGCCTCGTGCAAAGAGGTGGTAAAGTTAGTTCTGCTTGTGATTCACATCAATTAATAGGTGGGAGGTGAAAGAAAAGGGTAGTGGGTGAATTCGTGAGGCGGAAATTAATCCACAGGCTCTTCTCTTCTCTAAACTCCCTCCCCCTGTCTCATGAATATGGCAGATATACTGATGGTGTAATAAAATAATTATATATATATATATATATATATATATATATATATATATATATATAGTGGAGGTCCGACCGACTGATGTTGAAGAATCAACGGGTGAGTTGTGGTTAGGGGTGAAATGCCACTCGCACCCAAAGCTAGCTGGTTCTCCCCGAAATGCGTTGAGGCGTAGTAGTTGATTGGACATCTAGGGGTAAAGCACGATTTCGGTGCGGGTATATATATATATATAGACACACTCTTGTGTTATATCCTCTTCTCCAATAGTTACTCCGGAAATTCCCATCTTCTTATCCACAAGTAAATTCATCATCTTATTTTTTATTTTAATTTCCAATTGTCAAGATAGTTTGTTGCTGAATTTTGTCAGGTTTCTGGAGGTGGACCCAAGGATTGATAATTCACCAATGGAATGATTTTGCATGAATTTATGTACCACAAGAATTTTCGAGTCTCTTTTTCTTTCTTTCTAAAATACAATGGAGGAAAAAGAAAACAACCAGGTATATCCACACACATCTATATATATTTTGGTACTTTTTCAATGTCAACATTTTTCATAACTTGTGTCTCTTCCTTTGACATATCAATACACTTCAACTCACCATGTTGTTTCACTTTGAACATGAAATATTTCTGCAGCCTTATTTGCCTACAATTTTCCCAAGTCTTAACCATCAAAATCCAGAGATGGTTAATGAAGAAGCTATGATGGTGTCACAAAATGAAGAGAAATTTAAAGAGTTTAGTGATAAAGTAGAGAATGCTACACAAATAAGGTTTCTTATTGGTGAAAATCTTGAAAATGGCAAAGCAAATGAAAACAAGAAGAAGAGGAAAAGAAGAAGAATCAAGAGTAGTGAGGAAGTTGAGAATCAAAGAATGACACATATTGAAGTGGAGAGGAATAGAAGGAAGCAAATGAATGAGCATCTTCTTGTCTTGAGGTCTCTCATGCCAACCTCCTATGTACAAAGGGTATTAAAACTCTCTGACTTAAAAGTGTTACCCGCTCTGTTTCATTTTATATGACACTCTATACTTTTTGGTCAGTCAAAAAAAAGAACGACACCTTTCTATATAAATTTTTTTCTGATTAACTTTAATGTTTTCGTTTACCCTTAATGACATATTTTATAGCCATATAAATGTGCATGTTTAAGAGCACCAATTTAAGGGTATTTTTGACACTCTATACGCTTTTTTGGTCTTTCAAGAAAAGAATAACACCTTTCTGTATTAGAAATTTTCTGATTAACTTTAAACTTTTTATTTACCCTTAATAACATGTTCTTATAGCCATATAAATGTGCATGTTTAAAACTACAAGTTTTAAGGGTATTTTTGAAGTGTCAAAAAACTGTATTTCTTTCTTAAATTCCGTGCACAGTGCAAACACAACCATATTAGGTAGATATGACAAGAAAAAAAGCAAAATTTGACATGTTTTATTTTATTTGGAAATTTTCTAGGGAGATCAAGCTTCAATTATTGGTGGAGCAACAGAATTTTTGAGAGAATTAGAGCAACTTTTACAATGTCTTGAATCACAAAAGAGAAGGAAACTCTATGGAGATGATTCATTATTAATGGAAATTCAAAATCCACCATTCTTTGCTCCTTTGCCTCTTGCAAATGAAATATATGAAGGTGGAATTCAAGAAGAAATAGCAGAGAGCAAGTCATGTTTGGCTGATGTTGAAGTGAAACTGATAGGTTTTAATGCAATGATCAAGATATTGTCAAAAAGAAGGCCAGGACAACTCATTAGCACCATTTCTGCATTAGAAGATTTGCAGCTTAATATTATTCATACAAATATTACCACCATTGACCAAACTGTTCTATATTCTTTCAATGTTAAGGTACGTAATTATATCGAATTATGTGACCATCTTATCTAAAAGTTTGAACGGTTAAAGAGGGCACACCTTTTATTTACTTAAAAGTAATTAAGTTCTGTGAACTAACGGTATATAGACAAAATGACACTATACCATATATAATAAGTAACTCTTAATTGCAAGCTTGATATGGTATCTGAAAAATAAAACAATAATCCATTGTAGTCGATTAAATTAACAGTAATAGTGATTTTTTAAATTTTTATAGAATGTCACTGTATTATATTTCCTGATATTGTTCTGATTTTTATTTGTGCAGATTTCTGGTGAAACAAAGTTTACAGCTGATGGTATAGCAAATTTGGTACAACAAATATTCAGTTTTATTTATGCAAACAATGCCATATGAAATATACCCTAATTTACCCCGTACTCTTGTATCATAGCAATTCTTGTTTAATCTTGGATTTGAGCTGTTAATTAGTGACTTCATACATATTCTTGATCATTCAAATAAAAAATCAGCATAAATTCATGTGTATTTAATTTGTGATAAACTATAACTTTTACTGATTTTTTTATCTTTATGAGCTCATAATTGTTTTTTTTTTTGTTGTCAAATACTGTTTTTAGTAACTAATAGTAAATGATTTGACTGCAATTGTCACCATGTGTTCTTTGTTTGCAGCTAACGACCATTCATTATAGCGTAAGATACAAAAAGGCATAATACATCGACAACCCTTTAAAGTTGTGACACTCCATCTTAAGTCTGTTCCATTCGAACATTTTAACCAGACCTTTAGGGGTCGTTTGTTTGGAAAATAAATTATCCCATGATTAATTTTTTCGGGATTAGTTATTCCACCCTCCCATAGGATTAAAAAATACTACAATCCCGGGATAACTAATTCCGGAATTAGTTATACCACGATTTTATCCTAGCCAAACATGGAATAAACGCATCTCAAATTTAATCCCGGAATTAATTATACCTTATCCCTCATTCCAAGCGGGCCCTTAATGTATCATTTAGACACAAAATGCTGACATACTAAGGAGAGCCATGGCACGACACTAGGTGTTTCTGCCGTGTAATTAAGAGGTCACAAGTAAGTCGGGAAAAAAAACCTCTTGCAGAAATATAAGGGAAGGTTGTGCACAGTTGTCTCAAGGGATCAATTCTTCCTCAAATCTCGCGCCTATAGTGTGAGCTTAGTGCACCAAAATGTCCTTTTTGTGTGTTAATATACACAAGTGAGATATACTAAAAGACTAGAAAAGCAAAGGTTTCTTCCCCAGGCCAAAAGTACAATTGCAAAGGTTGCTATCAACATATTGCAGGTAAAGAGAAATGCCAAAGAAAGGATCTTTAATGGAAAAATAGTTACTCACTCAGTTTCATTTTATGTGACATACTTTCGTTATTAATCAGTTAAAAAAAATGACACATTTTATATGAAAACAATTAACTTTAAACTTCTATGTTATCATTTTTACTGTTAATGAGAAACTTTTATATATTTTAAATGTTATGAAATGTTTAAGACTACAAGTTTCAAATTTTTTATTTCTTTCTTAAATTTTATGCCGAGTCAAACAATATAAGTACGTAAATTAAAACACATGGAATAGAAAAGAGTGGTAAGGTGACAAGATCTATCTAGTTGTGGTGTTTATCAGATAAATGGATTGAAATTGTAAGGTTTTCTCTTTTCCCGCGGGGACAAAAATCAAAATCGGGTGGACTTCGCTCAATCAAAGACAGTTCATTTCGAACTTAGCCGAGTTCAATTATGTGACCTAGGGAAAGTCAACGTGCATGCACTGCCAAATTGTACGTACCTTTGTTTTGAGATGGGATTGACTTTGTCAGGTCTAAATCTTGGAAGTATTAGTCTGTCATTGAATACTAGCAAATTCTCTTTAATTTTGTAGGGTCACTTGTCCTAAGAGTTTGGATAAATTAATTTGGTCTTTTTTTTTTATCATGCACCATTTATTTATTTTTGTTTCTTTTAGGGTTTGCAGTTTTGATTCATGCGCGCATGCTAAAGAATGGCATTGTGGGGTTTGGATTTTGACTCGTATTGTTGTCTATAAATGCATCAAAAAGATCCACAACTGTCCAATCATTTGCTTTTAAAATGCAAAGTAAATGTAATTTCTAAATGTTTATAAATTAGAAAAAGATTTATAAATGTTTTGTTAGATGAAGGAAGAAGTGAAAAGAACTCCATCCCTCTCGAATGTTTAACACTTTTGTTTCTAAAGATTCAAACTAATAATCTTGAATGGCATATATTTATCAAACTTACTGCAACTTACAGCACTTTTGCGAGTTTTTAATAATTGATCTTTAATTTTAAAATTTGAACTGATCCAATCTAATTTAAAATCAGACAATTGGTTAAATCACATTGGTAAACTTAGTGTGTCGTCTGATATTGATCGAATTTATCTATGTGTAAAAAAACCAATATAGTTAATCTTATGAGGCACGAACTCGGATTAGTCAGGGCCCTAATGCAAAGGTGGACAAAAAAAAAGGTGGTCCTTACCCAAAAAGTAGCAGTTGGGTACTGAAACATGGTAACAATACTTTCACATAAAGGCAGGCCAAAAGATTATACTGTCCTTACTGATTGTTACTGTTCTATGTGATACCTTCCTCTTTTGACAGATTGTGTTTATTGAAGGTCAACTGGAAGAAAAACTGGTACTTAGTCCTAATAACTCATTATTTTGGCTTTTAATATGTTCCTATTACTCGTGTATTTGACTTGAATAAATTTTTAGACATTGTAGATTCTGTTCTTTTTTATTTTAAATTGGTGCGGGGTATACCGGCCACCGAGAAGCTTATTATAGGGGGTGATTTTAACGGCTACATTGGGAGGTAGCTTGGGGATATGAAGGTGTGCATGGTGGCTTCGATTTTGGAGATAGAAACGGAGAAGGTACTTCGTTGCTGGAGATAAAACCGTGGCGTTTAGTCGTATATACGAAGAAATTGGGGATAAAGGCTGGGACAAGAAGTTGTACAGGCTAGTGAAGGTGAGGGAGCAGAAGGCCCGGGATCTGGACCAAGTGAGATGCATAAAAGACGAGGAGGGAAGAGTTTTTTTGAGGGGGCACAAATTAGGCAGAAATGGTAGTCTTACTTTTATAGACTCTTGAATGAAGAGGGAGATAGGGGCATTGTGCTGGGGGAGTTAGAGTACTCAGAGCGGCAACGAGATTTTGGGTACTGTAGGCGCATATGAGTGGGGGAGGTTGTAGGGGCTATCCGCAGGATGAGTAGGGGTAAAGCGACTGGGACGGACGAGATCCCGGTGGAATTCTAGAAGAGCGTGGGTAAGGAGGGCATGGAATGTCTTGCTAGGTTATTTAACATCATTTTTAGGATGAAGAAGATGCCAGAAGAGTGGAGGCGGAGTACGATGATCCCGTTGTACAAGAACAAAGGGATGTCCAAAACTGCAACAAACTATAGGGGTATTAAGCCATACAATGAAAGCGTGGGAGAGGTTGATTGAAGGGAGGTTGAGGAGGTCTGTGTCTATTTCCGAGAACCAATTTGGTTTCATGCCGGGACGGTCGACTACTAAGGCCATTCACATTGTGAGGAGATTGATGGAGCAGTATAGGGCGGTGAAGAAGGATTTGCATATGGTGTTCATTAACCTGGAGAAAGCCTATGACAAAGCCCCGAGAAAGGTTCTATGGAGATGTTTGGAGGCTAGATGAGTGTCTGTATCGTATATTAAAGTGATTCAGGACATGTATGATGGAGCTAAGACACGAGTAAGGACATCAGGGGTAGACTCTGCCTACTTTCCAGTCGTGATGGGGTTACATCAGGGATCAACACTTAGCCTGTTTTTGTTTTCCATAGCGATAGATTCTTTGACGCGTCAGATTCAAGGGCAGGTGCCTTGGTGCTTGTTATTTGGGGATGACATAGTCCTGATCGATGAGACGCGAGGTGGCATTAACGAGAGGCTGGAGGTAGGAGACATACTCTGGAGTCTAAAGGTTTCAAGTTGAGCAGGATCAAGACAGAATACTTGGAGTGCAAGTTCAGCGGTGTTACCCACGAGGCGGGCGGGAATGTGAGACTCAATACACAAGTCATTCCCATGAGAGAGAGACTCAAGTATCTGGGATCTATAATTCAGAATGATGGGGAGATAGATGAGGATGTCACACACCGTATCGGAGCAGGGTGGATGAAGTGGAGGCTTGCTTCTGGTATCTTACGTGATAAGAATGTGCCGTTGAGACTTAAGGGTAAGTTCTATAAGGTAGTGGTTAGACTGACTATTTTAATGGGGCAGAGTGTTGGCCAGTCAAAAACTCCCATGTCCAGCAGATGAAGGTTGCGAAAATGAGGATGTTGAGATGGATGTGCGTGCATACTAGGTTGGATAGAATTAGGAATGAAGTTATTCGGGGCAATGTAAGAGTGGCCCCTGTGGAGGCAAAGATGCGTGAGGCAAGGTTGAGATGGTTCAGGCATGTTAAGAGGAGAAGCACAGATGCCCCTGTCAGAGATGTGAAATGTTGGCCTTGGGAGGTGAGAGGAGGGGTAGAGGTAGGCTAAAGAAGTCTTGGGAGAGGTGATCAAGCGGGACATGGTGCAGCTTGAGCTAACCGAGGACATGAGCCTAGATAGACGGGTGTGGAGGTTGAAGATTAGGGTAGAAGGTTAGTAGGTAGTCAAGTGTTTCCCGTTGTCTTCTCTAGTTCGATAGTATTAGTGCTAGTACAGTACCTTTTTTTCCTTAGTTTGCTATATTTGCATGTCTCGTTCCGTTATTAATTGACATCAGTAATTCCGTAGTTTGCTAGCAGTACTTCGTTCATATTCTCGTTTGCTGTCTTGGATTTAATTTTCTAAATATGTTATCTTGCTATTACTTGTTACCCGTACCCCTTTGATAATCTCTGTTGCTATCTTCGATTTAGTTTTCTAATAATTTGTCTTTCTATTACTAGCTATCAGGGCTTCTTTCACCTTCTTTAGCCGAGGGTCTATCGAAAACAGTCTCTCTGCCCTTCCAGGGTAGGGGTAAGATTGCGTACATCCTACCCTCCCCAGACCCTGCTTATATTGGGTTGTTGTTGTTGTTCCTTTTCGTTTTGTGTTATTGTTGTAATTCTGTAATTTAATTATCAGTTCTGAGAGTCAATGTGAATGAAATTTGCTCTCAAGTCAGAAATCATTAATTTTAATTTGTTAGAAGGTTTTTTTAATTCGAAATAACATACACGAAATGATGAATCAATTTTTTTTCTTAAATTCTAAATGTGAATACAAGTCTTTAGAAGATTAGGCAAATTATATCAAGATGGGCCATATTGGGCTAAATTTAGGGGAGAAATTCAAAAATAGCCAGATTTACAACTGGTCGTTCAAAAATAGCCCAATTTTAAAAGTAATCTTAATTTAGCCACTTTTTATGTAAAGATAAATATGAGCGAAAACACTGTTCAAAACCCGGAAATTACTCCAATATATTATGCTGGAGTTCCAGC